CTGGAAATAAGTTCATTTATATTTTGTTTTTCATCAGCCTTATATTGGGATGATTTTACAGATAAATTGAATTATAGCATTAAAATTTAATTTGCATGGTTTTAAATAGCAATGCTATTGTCATGCTTGTTTATTAATATCGTATCACAATTATTTACAATTTTTGTAGAACTGAAACCGATAATAGTGAAAAAGTTTTATAAATATTATCCCTAATAAAATCAAATGACAAATCAAAATATATGTGGATTAAGCTCTGGGCTGGCTAATCGTGAAGAAGTGTCTTAAATCAGTGTAACTTAAAATCATAACTTCAAATCACTTTTTATTCTTATGACATCCAATTTAAAAGGTAGAATAGAAGATGTATGAATATAATTTATGAAAGGAATGGTGGGGAATTAGAAATTTTAAATTATATATTTACGAATGTCCACCTGGATGTTAAACTTGTACTTCAGAAGATTCAGCTATTTTTTGCCTGATTTGGATTATATAATATCAAAGCTTATTAAATGTGGATATTGATTAATTCTAAATGGAAGGATGGATAGATTTGGAAGGGCAATAATCTATAAGTTCTTGTTCTTGTAATTTTATTTAAAATTATATTAGCTATTCCTATGTTGTAAGGATTGATTATAAATGATTAAAAAAGTAAAATTATAAAATCAATAAATTTACCAATTCACTGTTAAATTCAAATTAAATTTAAGTTTATATTCATTGACTAATGGGATTCTGAATATGCTTAATTATATGTTGATAATCAATTAATATGGAATTATTCTCATTAATCAGTTATTGGTACAATTAATCTTTGTGGTGAGAAGTTTGATGAGAAAATATTAAATTAGGAAATTACTTTGCCTCATAAATAATAAATTTTAGAATTGTAATTTACATCTACATTGACAAATTCACTTAAAAAATTATCATTTGGTATAAGAGATATTGAAATATTTATATGTAAATATATTAATAATTTAAGATTGTCCATATGGTTTTCCTTTTGATTTTGTTTGTGAAGGAATTTGTGGAAATGGAGAGATAGATAAAGCTGAACAATGTGATGATGGAAATATTTATCCATTTGATGGATGCTTTAATTGTTAGTATTCATGTGTTGAAGGTTGTTCTAATTGTATTAAGGAAATTTGTTATGAATGCTAAGAAGGATGGACATTTGATGAATTTACATGTACTGAAGATTTCTTTATAAATAATTAAAATTAATATGATAATGAATTGTAGTAATAATGTTTAGATAATTGTAAATTATGTATCTATGATGTATGTAATGAATGTGATATAGGATATTATCTAATCAATAATCAATGTAAAACAATTTGTGGAGATGGAATAATTGCTGGAGATGAAATGTGTGAATTAGAATAATAAGAATGTTTAAATTGTTAATTGAATTGCACAAAGAATTGTGATGTTTGTATTAAAGGTGAATGTCATTAATGTATAATTGGATATACATTTGATTATATTGAATAATATTGTTAACCTATTTGTGGAAATGGTGTTGTATCTAATGATGAAGAATGTGATGATTTTAATAAAGAAAATGGTGATGGATGTTCTAGTTAATGTAAAATTGAATAGAATTATATTTGTAAGAATTATTAATACTCATTTTCTGAATGTAGTTATGAAAAATATCCTTCATTCTAACTTTCATTAATTAGTACATATCATGAATATTAATATGTATCGATTTATTTTGATTAAATTGTTAAAACAATTAGTTAGACTGCTTTTTCTACAATGATACGTATGCGTTTAATAGGACCAAATGAAATATTTTATGATTTACATTTAATTCCTATTTAAGAACCTTTTGAATTAGTTTCAGCTGCAGAATACTTAGTGAAAATTGTAATAAACACTACTCTATCATAACCACCAATTTTAGAAGTAATTCTAGAGGATTAACTATTTAATTATCATGATGCTCCACTTGCTAATTAAATAAATTAAATAAAACTTAATCTTCCATAATACCTTAATGATGAATAAAAATAGAATGCCATTTACCTCTAAAAAGTAGCTAAATACACAATGATTTCAATGGGAGGCTCAGTGATACTCATATTGATAATTTGTGGCTAATTATTAATTCAAGAAATACTTGAAATACTTCAATAATAATCCTACCTTAGATTTATTAATGTAATTTTTCCTCTTAATTTATTTGTTTACTTTGAATCAAGTAATTTGATATCTATGCAACCTATTTTGGATATAGTTAAAATTGATTAAGTATTAACATAATTTATGAATGATTAATATTTGGAATCTTAAGGGAAATTATTATACTATGAAGTAAATGCAGATATTTTAACAAATATATAAACTTAAGTTTTCTTAATTATTGTACTTCTGATTACTTATTCTTCAAATTATTTAGTCATAAAACTTTTAAGGAAATTGAATAATTAACAGATGTTTTATTTTGGTCCAAAATTTGCAAAATTAATAATGAAAACTTTGAAGTCTTTGTATAAACAAAACAAAAACTTTGAAAGTTAAGTATTATAAGATTTTCTAAACACAAATAGTTGGGATCTTCTTTTTATGTCCTTTCTATAAATATAGTCAATATCCAACAACATTGTTTCCAAATTAATTGCATATTTCATTTTGTATATAATCCTCTTTATTTCATCTAAAATGTTTACAAGAATAAGCTATCCATTTATAAGGAATTAAAAATAATTATGGATTTCAAAATCAAATTAAATCAAACTATTAAAAAAAGTTTTATTCATAAGCATATTAGTAATGTTACAATAAAATTAAAAATTACAAATTATGTTATTAACTCTAGTTTCCTCATTCTATTTAATTTATCTTTTCATTATTAAACCTTTTAAGAACACCCTAGACTTCATTAATACTATGGTACTGGAAATTACCTCATTTATATTTTGTTCTTCATCAGCCTTATATTGGAATGTTTTTAAAGATAAATTGAATTATAACATTTAAATTTAATTTGCATGGTTTCAAATTGGAATGCTATTGTCATGCTTATTTGTAAATTTAGTTTTATAATTATGCATTTTATGCGTAGAAATGAAAAAGAATATAGTGAAAAGGTTTTATGAATAAAATCCTTAATAAAATCAATAGCCAATTAAAACAAATCCATTTTTAAATCCTTGAGGATTCATTTGATATGTGTTTAATAATGTAATCATATTTATTCATATAATAACAGCTATATGATTTTCCTGTTTTCTTAAAATATTATAATCACTATTCTGTTATTTTATTAATTTTATACATATTTTAATATTTTACTAATACTCTTGATTATTATACAATTATTATTTTTATTATTATTTAAATTCAATACAAAAATTGAATTCAAAAAAATATTTGATTTTTTAGTAAATAAATAGTCTGAATTATATCCATTTTCAAATTTTTGTCTTATTGATCCTTTTCAAATATTTCTATATAATATAATATTTGAAATGAGTTAAAAACTAAATTTTTATATAAATTGATATAAACTGTAATTAAAGAGATAAAAAAAGATTATTTAGAAAATTCTAAACAAGACTAAATTCTTATTCTTTACCAAAATCTTAATTGTAAAATCACTATTTCTTGAAGATTCTGAGCAGCATAATTTCTTTTTCCAAAATGAATTTAACAAAACGAATCAACAGAATATTTATGAATATCAGCACAAGAAAGACAAATATCTTTATTTAATATTATTTTTAATAAGTATGTCATTGTTGATGATAATTAAATTAAACTCTCTTACTTAATTAAAAATTTATGTAGTTGCATAAATAAAGATGATTCAAAATTTGAGTAAGGATTTTCTAACATTTCTTCGTTTCTTTAAACCAAGAGACACTGAATCAAACTCTTAATCTATAAAGTTAAAAAATACTTATTTAAATATCAAAAGAAGAATTAAAATTAAAAAAAATTTGTATCTTTATGCTTTTTAGATCAATATAATTTAAAATTAAAAAGGTAAATCAAAGTTTCTCTATTTAATGATCTTAAATACAAAGACCAACATTTTTGTTTGGTCATAATATCAAGCTAATTACAGTACATCCATATTCCAATTTATTCGAATAATATTTGATTTTTCTCTTATCATTTCTTATTAATATAAATTTATATTAATTTAAAAAAATTTATGCAATAAATTTTATTTTAGCTAAAAATAATTAATAGCTAAAAAAGTATTAAACCATTAAATATAATATCAATTTTATGTTGTGTTTGATATAAACTTTTAAGTTGAGATATTTTTAATATTAAATAAAGTACAGAGATAATAGATTTAATTAATATAAATTGAAGGGATTAATAATAATAACATTTTAATTAAATATGTACTAATTAAAAAACTTAACAAAATTGGCATGATGTTTAGGACTAGTAAATTATATTTAAATACTATATTCCTAATTAAGGAATGATAATTCTTATAATTAAATGCAGTATTATAATTTTCTAAGTAAAGAATTATTGAATAAATATTAGAACTTATAGATTCTTTTTTAAAGTCTAACAAAGCATATTTATCTTTATTTTAGTTTGCATATATTAATTTCATGAATCATCAACTTTCATTTTTGTTTTATGATACTATTAAGTTCAAGACTATATATTGAAAATCAAATATAAATATTTATAAAAGAATAATAATTATTATTTTTTCTACTGAATGAATTAAAGACACTTTATGAATTACTATTACTCTCATCTATTGTATGTCTATTTAATAATTTTATGCATACAATAATGATTTATGTTTTAAATTAATCTTTTGTGATTTATTTTTTTTGATTTCATATAAACAGAAGAATCCAACAATTGTATTTTCTCTTTATTATGAATCGCAATTGTATTTTTTTTTTTAAATTATTATAATAAATAATTCCAATATTGATATTCATTGCTTATTAAATCATTTAGTTTTTGATATACTTTATTTTTTTAAAAAGTCTAAAAAAATGAATAATATTGAATTCAGAAGCATATAAACTAAAAGATAAAAGAATAAATGGACTATTGAAGAAGATGATCTATTAAGTTCATCTATTCAAAAATATGGTACAAACTGGTGTTAAGTTGCTTAAAATTTTCCAGATAGAAATCCAAACTCTTGTATTCAAAGATGGAAAATATTGAAATGCAAAAATGTAAGAAATATATTTAATCACTAGAAAATAAAAAAGAAGAAATGGAATTAAAAAGAAGATAAACTTCTTTCAAAATTAGTAATACTCTATGGAAAAAAATGGAAAAAAATTTCAAAATACATAACAGGTAAAACCGATAAGCAGTGTTTGTAGAGATACAATAGTACCCTAAACCCAAATATCAATAAATAGCTTTTCACAGAGGAAGAGGATTAGATAATATACTCAAATTACATAATTTTAGGTTCAAAATGGTCTATAATATCATAGAAATTAAACAAAAGAACTGTAAATTTATATCATATTTAGTTCAGCCAAATTAAGTAAAAAATAGATTCTATTCTCATATTATTTCCTCTTATTTGCATCTATAAAACCCATATTATACAAAATTATCATCTTAATAAGCTAAGAATGTTTTATTATAAGTCGCTTCTGAACACAAATAAAAATTGCTTTTAGATAATTAAAATTTAAATACTTCAGTATTAGACAAAAGTCAATTAAGAAACACTTTTGATTTGATTGAGTCTTGCCAAGTAGAATTTGGAGATGATTATTCTAATTATCACAGACTTGGATGATGAACCAATAATATATTAAATAAAAATAATTTATAGT